ATAATTTCTTTCATGGAAAAAATATACTCTCTGTCCCAATTTGAATATGTAGTAGTATTATTATTCGATTTGTTTGTGACTAGTCTAATAACATATACGGGGTGATAAGTTAAGTAGTACCACCTATTATTGTTTTTCATTTTGTTTATTTAAAAGTCATAGAGAAGATTAATTATAGCTTTGCAGATTGAGTGTTTAACCTTACACACTTGACACTTCACTAGAATATACGAAATATTTCATACTATTTACTATGGAAAGTTTCACCCACACTTTTACTACTTTTGGTTTGTTTTTTTCCTGAAAATTGTATATTTCAATGAGAAAGTTCTTAATATATTACGAGTACGAAGTGCTTAATATATTTCAATAAAACTATGGGGCGAGTGACCAGGCCAGTACCGTAAAAGAGTTATCACCATGTGTGTCAGGAGTTTTTTTGTGTGAATCCGATCCACAGAAAAAAAAAATTGCATAAACATATTTTGTCTGTGATCGGGATTCACAGACAAAAAAACTCTTCAGACATAGTGGGTATAAGATTGGGTACAAACAATTTTTTTGTATTTTGTTTTGGTATTGGTGTGCTTTTTACACTTCTAATGTATTTACAACAGCCTACACAAACTAGCCTTCAAAATTGACGAGAGCTTATAATTTCTTCAAATACCCAACATCTCATTTTTACTTTAAGAATGAGTTTTATAGGAGTCAAATCCAGAGCTAAAGTCATCAAATTTGTCTCAATTGAGATAACTTTGGACTTTGCATATATATAATACGAAATTACGAATGGAATGTAAATATCTACTAAAACAATATATATCAAATAGCTCACCAGTAGTTAGAGTAGCTTATGTGCATCTTTCAATACAGGGGGAGGAAAATGAAAGACTGCAAGGTGATTGATCCTTATTCATCAAGTAGTGATCATCCATATCTGGAGTTCACAAATTTTATTATACTTGAAGGAAAATACTATGCAATCAGCCGGCAGGGGTGTCTCGCAGTTATTGCCAAGAACAGTACAGGTGATTTCGAGATTACTGCATTAGGAAGTAATCGAGTTGTTCCTTCCAAAGCATCAAGGCTCTTCAGGGAGTTCTTGCTGCATTACAAAGGAGAAATCTTTGTAGTTTTTTTAATATCATGGAGAGGCGGATCATCTGGCAATGTGGTGGATGATGTCGAAGTTTTACAATTGGATAAATCGAGATTGGCTTTTAGAAAGGTGGAGAAGCTAGGAGATACAATGTTTTTCTTGGAAGATAAATATTGCATGGCATTTTCTGCAAGTTTAATTGGTTGCCACAAGGGGAGAAATTGTGTTTATTTTATCACTAGTGCTCATGATGATGGAGATGAAGGTGAAAAGCATACTTGGTTTGTTTACAACTTGAAGACAGGTTGCATTTCACCTACACATGGACTTGAAATTGACCCACCATTAATTTGATATAATTTATTTTCTCATCGCAATAGTATATGGATATCTGTAAAAGATGGATGTCATGCTTGTTTTTCGTTTTCATTTTGTTGTGTCTAGTTAAATGATGAACATTTTTCCATTGTGAAATATGAAAACTTCTAGATGTCATGTTGTTTGTTTGTCATGGCAACTTTTAATCCCACTTTTCCATGGAAAATTAACTACTTTACCAAGTCATGGAGATCACGTGACTGATTCGAAGAGTACCATCGTCATGGCCCATGGGAACTTTTAAGCCCACTTTTCTTGATTTTACATGCTTAACTGATACATGTTATCAAGCACATGTACTGAAAAAAGTCACCATTTGAGTTTATGATAATTACATAAAAGACACCTGATGAGGGTTAGCCATTGATTATAAAATAAAGACAGACTTACAGACATTATGTGTTCTTATAATAAAATGTGTTTATGAAACGAATGCATACTCTTAATTATTGGGGCTTCAAGCTCGGACTCATCCGCAGAATCTGAATTGCATTTAAATACTCCCTCCGTATAAGATATATCTTCCCACTTCCAAAGTGGGTGAGATTAAGAATAGTGAAATAGAGTATGAATTATTGAGGGTATGATTGGAAGATGGTGAAATAATGTGATGGAATGAAGGATAAATCCAAAAAAAGTAGGTGTAATAGTGTATTATTTTTTAAATTATTGAGGGTATAATGGGAAGATTTATAAATGGGAATATATAAATGTTACGTCCAAAAAAGGAAAGTGGGAAGATATGAATGTTACGGAGGGAGTATTTACATAAACTATAGTAGCTCACAAATAGGACAAGTTACTCGTGCATATATATACTTAAATACAGGTCATGGAAAATGAAAGATTGTACAATAATTGAGCCGTATTCATCAAGTAAGGATCATCGATCGGTACATGGAGTTCACTAATGCTATTGGCTTTCATGAAAAGTTCTATGCAATCAGCCGACTGGGGAGTCTTGCACTAGTACAAGACAAGGACAATTCTGGTGATTTTCATATTACTGTTTTAGGAAATGAGTTGTTCCTTCTAAGCTATCAACACACTTCATTTGCTAAATTGACTTCATCTTACGAATCTCAACTCGTGACGTGTGGTCGTTTTTGGTTATTCATCACTGAAGCTTCAGTGGCTTATTACAAGATTTTGGACCAGCAGTGAGATCCCAATAAGTGTTCTTATGATTTCTGGAGCAAAGCATTCACCTAGTGCAAGTCTAGTTCGGGTTTATGTGGGCGGATTCAAGGAAAACGTGATGTATAAAGAGAAGCGTGAGAAAAAAGATGCACTATTGTCAGTCTGTCCCTGAACCGCCGCCTTGTAGGGTTTAAAATGACGTTCAAGTTTGGATCTAGTCACTTGCGTGTTATTGCTATGTTTTTTTTCTAGCTTTACTTATGTCTTTTTAGACTGTTTACTATGTTTTTGGCTTGCTTGTGGTAGAGGTATTTTTGGGGTGTTTATGGCCGTTATTTGGTTCAAATGTCCCGTATGTTCAGCGAAAATTTTCGCTTTGTTTTCGATGAATTTTTCTATGCTTGATGAGAAACTAAGAGAAGTATTCGGCTATTTTGATTTTATTAAAGTGGTAAAGAGTACGATGACCATATGTGTGATAAAGAACTCTATGTTACTCTTTTGATGATCAGCGATTTGTGTTGCTTTTGGAGGTGGTCGTCTCGAAATCTGATCATAGAGTTTTCCTTGGGTTTAGATGAAGTCTGTTAGAAAATAGTCGACGGATCTTTATTTTTTGGTTGGTTGTAAGTACAAATTATTGGTTAAAGTAATATAGTTTATCATTTTCTTTTTAAAAAATTCAAAAATGATTTTTTTATGATAAAAAAATCAAAAAAGAAGAAACAAAAAATCATAATTTTCATCATTTACAATGGAGCCAAAGACTCACAATCTTTTGGCTTTAAAATATGATGACATAAAACAAAATGTCTCACTAAATTGTTTGTGCTTCTTTTTAAGAAGTAACAGCTAGATCATGCCATTTTCGACGCGAATTTCACTATGAGTCATCCGAAAACAGTCTATATGTGCTTTAGTATAGGGGCAAGACCGTCTGTATCGACGCTTTTTACCCCAACCTGGGTGGTAGCTTATGCGGCATTAGAGACTAGTAATTGAAACCAAATGCATTCTAAGGATGTTTTTATTTGGACTGTAATTTGTCCCAGACCAGATCAGACCAGACTAGACTTGGATAGTTATAAAAATACAAAGAAACCAGACCAGACCAGATCAGACCAGACCAACAAATTATGGTCCAAGTAAAAACATCTCAAAAAGTTCATTTTACTGGCCAATCAATTTTCGGCCAAATTTTTAAAATTGGCTAATAAGCGTCTGTAATTACCAAAGGCCTTTTTATTCCAATATTACTAGAAATTGGATAAAAGATAAAAAAGTGATCTGTTTTTAAAAATTCTAAAAATGTGACTAACATCACAATTAACCCTGCAGTGTAAAGTGACTCCGGGCAAAGTGACTCCGACCAAAGTGACTGCCCCACAGACCAAAGTGGGTGCCCCGCCGCCACAGTGACTGCCCCGCCGCCAAAGTGACTGTCCCGCCGCCAAAGTGACTCCGGCCAGTGACTCCGGCCAAAGTGACTCCCGCCAAAGTGACTCGTCGCCACTCCGCCGCCACAGTGACTCGCTGCCACTCCGCCGACATAGTGACTCGCCGCCATAGTGACAGGAGGCCCCGCCAGTCACAATTACTTAGCCGCCACGCCGACCGTCGCCACTGCCACCACCCCAGCCTCGCCGCCACAACTACCACACCCCATCGCCCACCACCGCCCAACTAGTCCACCACCGCGCAACCCTAGCTAGAAATCCCAGTCATTCAAATTAGATCTGGAATGTAACCAGCGCCGCACCACCGCCGCACCACCGTCAATGCTCCATCCTCGCACCAGTGCATCACCACCATCCCCACCGGACCTTCCCACCCCTCTTCGCCGTGACCCAACCGCCGCCTCCCAAACTGAGATCTAAGCCTCTGTTCATATATCTATTAACCTAACTGCCGTCCATCAGCGTCGTCCATCAGCGCCGTCACAGCCTTCACAACGAGATCCATTTACCACTGAAGAAGAATGGAGAAGAAGAGAATCGTGTGGAGGCAAGAGCGACGTCGGCTGGTGGAGACCAGGGGCAACGGCTGAGAGCGATGTCGACTGGCGGAGGGACTATCATCTGCCGAGCAACGAAGTGGAGGTGACGGACTGGTGGAGGCACAGGGTTGGGGGGAAGAAGACGACATGCGGCGATGGAGGTATGCGATGAAGAAATGCGATGAAGAGAGGGGAGTGCGATGAAGAAAGGATTTGCGGATCACTTTTTGGGAAAATGTAAAAGAAGTCATATATTTAGAAATCAAAAGCCCATTACTAATAACCGGGTAATTTTTTCATTACCAAACACATTACCATGTTTATAGATTTGATTGGCGGGGTTTTTTACTTGGAGCCAAAGCAAAATGAAATGTGCCCACGAAATCGGTTCCATTATTTCGTGTATTCTTTTAGTCATCTCTTGGAGCCCAAGCATTATTCCCCACCCTCATCTATTGTGCGTGCATATGTATATAAATCCGATCTCAAACTTATTCTGGCCTACTCGATCTCTCCTGCAAAACCAATAATCAGGTAATGTGATTCCTCTCCCCTTTTCCATCTGCTTGAACTGTTAATTTTAGAAATATGTGATTGATTGCTGGATTACTGATATTATTATCTTAATCAGCCCAATAATCATGCAAGGTTTGTGTAATTGTGTTTGATTTTAGACGAAAGGAAGATGGGTGAGAGGAAGATGATGCAGCGAGAGAGAAAGCAGGGTCGCCGTAAAAAAGTAGCAACGCCAACTCCCAATCGAAAAAATCGGCGATGGTGGTGTTACTCATTGCCTCGCCCTAATCTTCCCTTCGAGACGGATAATTCGAGAATGGTTTTAGAAAGCATTGGCGGATCGGGCGGCGTCACCAAGTCGTGGAGATCATCGCCATCATCTTGTCTTCTTCTTTCCACATCTGCCGCCGCAGTGTATCCGCCGCCGCTTGTGGAAAGGAATGTTCCTTCTTCGCATGTCGGAGAGCCCGAACCTTATTTTCATTACTGGGCAGATTCACATTGGGACTTCACAATTCCCTTCAAATCTGCCAAGTGTTCGGTCGTGAAGGTCAATCAGGGCCGCGAAAATAGCTACACGGTCCCTGCTTTTACATTCCGCAGAGATAAGGACCGGTGTCGTTATTATGACAGCTACACAGTGCCAAGGTTTGTCAAATAGGGAGTACGAAGTATTTTTTAATTTTTTTTTATACAATTTTTTTTTGAATATGAATATTATTATATCAAAATGGTTAAAATGTTTTTATAAACTATTCCCTCCTTTCCAATTTACTTTGCGAACTTTTCAAGTCTATAGTACCTAACTTTGACTGATTATATATCTATATAGAGAAAATATTAATAACATAAAAATTGTATGATTATGTTATTTGTTGAAAATACTATAATAAAAGTATAAAATTATTAATTTTTTCATAAATATATTAGTTAAATTAATTGGTCAAAGTCTACCATCTTTGAGACGGAGGTAGTATAAAATTTATCTATTACATAAAAATATAACAATTAAAATAATTTTTCAAAATTTGTCATTATTAACCAAAATAAGAAAGGTAATTCCTCATCCTTGTTTGAGATGGAGGAAGTAGATGATAAATTTATTTCGAAAATTTGTTGACAACTACACAGCCAGTTAATGTTTAGATAGTAATCGATACAAGGATAGATGATAAACAATCAGCTTAGAAAATAACACCATAATTGAAAATGTATACTCCTCTTGTTATTTTTGAAAAAATAAAGCACATACTACGTATATCGTGGAATTTCACATTAAATGTTCACTTAAACTTTATACAAAAAGTATCTAACACCACTCATCTAAGCAAAATATAATTTCTTTCATAGAAAAAATATACTCTCTCGGTCCCAATTTGAGCATGTAGTATGGAGTATTGTACAATTTTTTTGTGACTAGTCTAATAACGTGTACGGAATGATTAGTTACGAAGTACTGCCTTTAATTTGTAGTTATTGTCCTAAACAGGATTAATGAACTCCTAAAAGACACAAATAGGACTACTATTTTTTAAATTCTCCAAATACGACTAAACATTTATTTTCTACCCTAAATACCCCTATCTAAAGGTATGAATTCATAATGAAATATTTTAATTCATAATAAAATCATGAAAAATAAAAAAAATTGTAAAAAGTAATAAAAAACCGTATAAACCTATTAAAATTAATAACATATTTATGAAAAAAATAAATAAATAATTAATATAAACTGTAAAAAACAAATGGATACCTTTCCCATCGCCTCTTAGCACCACCACCTCATATCGGTGAAATTTCTTCCACTTTTGAAAAAAAAATGTCATCTTTTTCTAAAAATGCCAAGAAAAAGGCATAATTACTCTTCATTATGCCAACATTTTCATTGATTTTGTCATCATTATGGCATTATTTAAAATTTTGGTAGATCTTCTCCGGTGATGGTAGTTGGTGGTGTTGGGGTGGCACAGGTGGTGGCGTTTTTTTTTTACGTTTTTAATTAAAAAAAATATATTTTAAAAAAAATATAATGTTTATTATAAATTTTTATAAATTTATAAATTTTTTAGTTTTTTTCTACGTTTATTATTTTTATATGTTTTTATTATTTTCGTATAATTTTATTATTAATTAAGACATTTTAAAAAGCTACAAGAGTATATTTGTCCAAACACACATAAATAGTCATATATGGGGATTTAAAACATGTAATCCTATTTGTGCAATTTTGCCAAATTTTAATCCTATTTAGGAAATTGACTCTTATTTTTGCATTTTGTTTACTTAAAAGTCATAGAGAAGATGTACAGAGTATTATAGATTTGTAGATTTAGTATTTAACAGTATACACTTCTCCGACACTTCTCTAGAATATACGAAGTATTGCGTACTCCCTCCGTCTCACTTAATGGTTCTCACGCAATTTAAGATGTTTGACTTATCATAAAGTTAACTGTTCTTTGTCATTATGAGATTATTTTTAGTAAATAAAATTTACATATTCAGAAACTACGTTAAAAGTTTTATACTCCGTAATAGTTAATCAAGAAAAATTAAATTTGATAAAAGTTGGATGTATAAAGTAAAAGAGTAAGAACAATTCACGGTAACCTTTAAATGCGACGGAGGGAGTACTATTCACCAGGGAAAGTTTCACCGGCACTGTTAGTCTGTTACTACTTTTGGTTTGTATATTTCAATGACAAAGTTCTTACTATAATACTCCATAGTCCATACGAAGTAAATAAATTTACTACTTACATCAATAAAACTATGGGGCGAGAAACGAGTACCATAAAAGAGTTACTACTAAAAAACTCAACTTTTATAGTCTATTTTCAGTCCAACTACTAAAAATGAAATTTAACATTGTTCTAAGCGTATTGAGTAAATATTATATTTTTTTATCACATCAAAAGGTAAATACAGATGGATTCAAGTAATATTTTCCGAAAACATTTCCATATACAAAATCGAGTAAATATCATGGAAAATTTTCAAATATGTGTAAGACTTTAATACGCAATATTTAATGGTGAATGCACTTCTAATGTTTTGATATAGGTGTGCGTTTCACACTTCTAATGTATTTACAACAGCCCACACACACTAGCCTTCAAAATTGATGAGAGCTTTTAATTTCTTCAAATCATGGACCAAACTTCTCATTTTTACTTTAAGAATGACTTTCATAGGGGTCAAATCGAGAGCTGAAGTCATTGAATTTGGCTCAATTGGGACAAGTTTGAGTCGCTTATGTGCATCTTTTATTACAGGCGCTGGACAATGAAAGACTGCAAGGTGATTGATCCTTATTCATCAAGTAGTGATCATCCATATCTGGAGTTCACAAATTTTATTATACTTGAAGGAAAATACTATGCAATCAGCCGGCAGGGGTGTCTCGCAGTTATTGCCAAGAACAGTACAGGTGATTTCGAGATTACTGCATTAGGAAGTAATCGAGTTGTTCCTTCCAAAGCATCAAGGCTCTTCAGGGAGTTCTTGCTGCATTACAAAGGAGAAATCTTTGTAGTTTTTTTAATATCATGGAGAGGCGGATCATCTGGCAATGTGGTGGATGATGTCGAAGTTTTACAATTGGATAAATCGAGATTGGCTTTTAGAAAGGTGGAGAAGCTAGGAGATACAATGTTTTTCTTGGAAGATAAATATTGCATGGCATTTTCTGCAAGTTTAATTGGTTGCCACAAGGGGAGAAATTGTGTTTATTTTATCACTAGTGCTCATGATGATGGAGATGAAGTTGAAAAGCACACTTGGTTTGTTTACAACTTGAAGACAGGTTGCATTTCACCTACACATGGACTTGAAATTGACCCACCATTAATTTGATATAATTTATTATCTCATCGCAGTAGTATATGGATATCTGTAAATGATGAAATTCACCTGCACATGCTTGTTTTTCACCTACACATGCTTGTTTTCGTTTTCATTTTGTTGTGTCTAGTTAAATGATGAACATTTTTCCATTGTGAAATATGAAAACTTCTAGATGTCATGTTGTTTGTTTGTCATGGGAACTTTTAATCCCACTTTTCCATGGAAAATTAACTACTTTACCAAGTCATAGGGATGGACTCGGGCCGGGCGGCCCGGCCCGGAACCGGCCCGGGGGGCGGTTCGGGTCGGCCCGGCCCGGTTACTGTGCAGTTCGGGCCCGGGCCCTTTGATTGGCGAACCGGCCCGGCCGGTTCGGGCCCGGTTCGGGCCAAATTAATTTTTTTTTTTTGAATTTTTTTTAAGTGTTTGGGTTGGGCTTGGTATTTTGGGCCATTTGAGGTGGTTTGGGGGTGAGGGGGGAGGGTTGGGGGTTAATTAGGAAAAGCCAAAAAAAAAAAAAAAAAAAAGAACCGAGGCCCGGCCCGGACCCGGGATTACCCGGGCCGGTTCCGGGCCTCCCATTTCTGAACCGAGGCCCGGCCGGGCCCAGGCCCGAACCGGAACCGGTCCACCCATACCAAGTCATGGAGATCACTTGACTGATTCGAAGAGTACCATCGTCATTAGGCATGGACCCGGTTCGGGCCGCCCGGCCCGCTACTCTGCGGGCCCGGAACTGGCCCAGTTCTCGGGTCCATGTCCGGGTCGGGCCTAGGCCCGGTGGGGGGGCGGGTCCGGGCTCGGGCCTTGTATTTGGCGAACCGGCCCGGCCGGGTCGGGCCCGGGTCCGGGCCGAATTAATTTTTTTTATATTTTTATTTTTATTTTTTGGGGTTACCCGGGTTGTGCTTGATGGTTAGGAGGGGTTTGGGGGTTTGGGGGTGTGGGGGGGTTAGGAAAGCAAAAAAAAAAAAAAAAAAAAAAAAAATGACCAAACCGGAGGCCCGGCCCGGCCCGGCCCGGACCCGGACCTTCCTTCCCAAAAAAAAAGCCCGTCCGGCCCCGGCCCGGGTCCATGACTAATCGTCATGGCCCATGGGAACCTTTAAGCCCACTTTTCTTGATTTTACATGCTTAACTGGTACATGTTATCAAGCAAAACATGTCCTGAAAAAAGTCACCATTTGAGTTTATGATAAAAGACACCTGATGAGGGTTAGCCATTGATTATAAAATAAAGACAGACTTACAGACATTATGCGTTCTTATAATAAAATGTGTTTATGAAACGAATGCATACTCTTAATTAGGTTTGGGGCTTCAAGCTCGGACTCATCCGCAGAATCTGAATTGCATTTAAATATTTACATAAACTATAGTAGCTCACAAATAGGACAAGTTACTCGTGCATATATACTTAAATACAGGTCATGGAAAATGAAAGATTGTACAATAATTGAGCCGTATTCATCAAGTAAGGATCATCGGTACATGGAGTTCACTAATGCTATTGGATTTCAAGGAAAGTTCTATGCAATCAGCCGACAGGGGAGTCCTGCACTAGTACAAGACAAGGACAAATCTGGTGATTTTCAGATTACTGCTTTAGGAAGGAAGCGAGTTGTTCCTTCTAAGCTATCAACTCACTTCAAGGAATTCTTGCTGGAATACAAAGGAGAAATCTTTTTAAAGTTCATAGTATCGTCAATGGATGAGGTGGATGACGTTGAAGTTCTTCAACTGAATGAATCGAGGTATTCGTGGGAAAAGGTGGAGAGGTTGAGGGTGACACAATGTTTTTCGTGGAGGAGAATTGTAGCATGGGAATTTCTGCAAGTCTTATAGGATGCAATCGGGGAGGAAACTGTGCTTATTCTCATACTACTAGTACTACTCATCAAGATGAAGATGGAGGTGAAGGTCATACCTTGTTTGTTTTTAACATGAAAACAGGCTGCATTTCACCTGCATCTGAACCTCAGATTGATCATTGACCTTTCTTTTACATAATTCATCATCTCTAATGTTCCTTTTTCATAAGTTATCCAATCAATATCTATATAAACTTGCTTATTCAAGACTTCAAGTTCATTTTGCTAAATTGAGTAACAATCCAAACGAAGCATCACGAATCAGTCAAGCAATATTTCATTACAGCAAAAGTTTACAGCAATAACAGCACCAAGATAATAAGTACTATACCATTGATCACTAATTAAACAGAGTAGAGATGAAGACGAAGAAGGTCAGTCAGAGGGACAGCCCAGACTCCTCGTCTTCCTCCAGCCCAGAAGTGTAGACCATGTAAAATGACCAAGTTAGCCCCAGCACCCCCAACAGTATCCACCCTAGAAGGTTGTTGTTCAGCCCGAACGGAAGCCCCGTCCCCTCCGTGCCCATCCTCTGATCCACCAACGCCATGGCTGCCGGGCTCGACATCACAACCGCCGCCGCCGACAACAAGGATGCACCGCCGGTCCTCAACTCTGACTTCCTCTCCGTCTTTCTCTCCATCGAACATCTCGTCTTCGCCACTTTACTCATCGCCGGCAACCCTTAAAATTGAAATGAAATGCTATTGTCAATTCATCCAAGGGAAGATTAGCAATTTAGCAGTCCAAATTGATCCGAAAACTACTCAAATAAAACTCATGAGTCAGTTAATTTTGAGAAAAAGTTTTGGATCCGTAATATTACGAAGACAAAAATGTTGATAGAATCAAAAGCTAAACATACCAAGAGCGGAGGAGGGGCGTGATGCGGGGGATTTCGGCACGAAGGAAGCACGAGCTAGAGTGGAGGTTGAAGAGCAGGCAGAGATGGTGGAGGCCATATATGTTCTGGTTTTGATTAACGAGAATGAGATGATGGAAGAGGACCAAGCTCTGAGTTACTTTACTCTGTTTTCAGTTTGATTGATTTTGAGGATGGAAGGAATTTGCAGATTAAGGGGTTGTTTGTTTGATAAAGCAAGGAGCACTGAGTAGCCACACAAAAAAGAGATGAGATGGACACCCCTGATCCACTCCAAGCCAATCAAATTTACCCATGTGGCATGGCATCTTTGTTGTGCTAGAATTTTATTAGGGGGCGTTTGGTAGGGTAAAATACATCGTACAGCCGGCTGTACCGTGCGCACGGTACAACCGGCCTTTTTTTGGCTTTTACACTTCTTCGCCCCGCACCAGAAGAAGATCCGGCTTCGCATTTGAAGCCTCGCACCAGAAGAAGAAGATCCGGCTTCGCTTCATCGTTCGATCCAGATAGCAAAGCCCTACCCAAAAACCTTTTCTTGATTTCAGTTTATTTGAATTTCGATCTGTAGTGCTTGGAGTTGTGAACGACGGCTGCATATTGGGTTGTGCCTGAGATGCTTCATACCAGCTTCTGCGAATTGGGTAATTGGGGGTGTTGACTCAGGTGTTGTGAGAAGACAGTGTTGGTGAAGTGGGAAATCAACCTATGTGTGTAATACTGATTTTCAATGAAAAAGGGTCGAACACATTATAACTGAGTTTTACGTTAAACTCAAATGAGTATAAGGCTTAAAATCAATGAGCACACACAAATGAGTATAAAGCTTAAAATCAATGAGCACACATAAATAAACTTTTGAATTTTTTATACTCATTTTGTTGGTTATGTATGCTCATTCAATCTCAAATGAGTTTTGTATTAAACTCAAATGAGTATACGCCTAAAAGAAATGAACTCACACAAATTAATATTGAACACATTGAAAATGAGTTTTAATGTTAAAATCAAATGAATGTAACGCCCAAAATGAATGAGCATACTCATATGAACTTTTGAATTTTTTGATACTCATTTTGTAAGTTATGTATGCTCACTAGGTACTGCTTTATGCTTATTTTAAAATGTTTCACATTTCAAACGTATAATACTACATTAGATTCACATATTGAAATTAATTGGAATTGGTTATAAACATAATTTAAGAATTTTTTATTAACGAAAAAATAATAAAAAGAAACTGAATTAGAAGATATGAAGCAGATATCACTGGTGCTCATTGTTAGGCTCCTAATACTCAGAACAACAGACTCGATGCTCATCCAAATTACATCAATGCTCATTTAAGAGAATCGATGAACTTCATCAAAATTACAAAACTGCCACCGGCTGTACGGTGCCAGCCGTACAACCGGCTGTATGGTATACGCTTCCGTTTGGTAGGATGTAAAATATGTAGTAATTACTTTGCACGGATGTGTAACGACGTGAAATGTTTATACTGTTTGACTTGATTATTTAATGCAAACTGAAAGACACTTTTTAAAACATTTCGAACTGTACCATGTAAAGTATTTTACGTGGGGGATTGTGTTAAAATACTTTGCATGCCTTTTATGAAACACTGCAATGACTTTGCGTGCAATTTAAAAATAAATTACACATCTGGCTAAACAATGTAATCTATTTTACATGCAAAATGAATATTTTCCTATACTTTGCATGCAATTACTTCGGGTGCAAAGATTTAATGTGTTTAACTACCAAATGAGCTCTTAGAGTATATTTGGAGCTCTTAGACATTTCATCTCTACATTTTTATGTATATTTGGAGCTCTCGACCTATTAATTGGATTTTTTTAAAAAAGAATTGGATATTTTTTTTTTTTGAAAATGAAACGAATTGGATATTGAAAAATAAAAAATAAAAATCTCCTTTGGATGAAATAATCATTTGATTCTCTTACCCAAATGTAAGAGTTTCATTATTTTCTGGATTTTCCGTACTTCACATATTTAACCCCTTTGATTATAATCACTTAGTCTAACATTTTATTATTTCTTATTTATACGTAGTAATATTTTACAAAAATTCTAAAAGTACACACTTTTGGGGTACACATTCTTACACATTGTATGTGTAGTAGACGTTTAATTAAACGTTTGCTTTGTCTGTACAGACAAAAAACGCTACACAAACAGTGTGTAAGAATACATATCTCATAAATGTGTACCCCAAGTCTAAGGAGATGTTTACTTCATTTCTTATTAAACGGTGGTTAGTAAGCGCTGTGTTAGTAAGCCCTGCTTAATAAGAATTGCTTACTAGATACGTGTTTACTTGAATTAACTCATCGATGTCGCTTACTAGTTTTACCAGAGACGTTTGTCTGGGTTTGTGAAAGAAACGTGTTTTAGGTAAAGAGATGTGGGATAGGAGTGTAAATAAAAATTTCGTATAGGAAAAAGTAAGGACACGCTCGTCAATATGAAAAGTCTTAAATCAACGCTTAAATAAAACATGGGAAGAGCATGGTTTAGTAAGCGGTGCTTTAAGCGGGTATCATGATTACTAAGCCGTTGTCTAAGTGGGTAGATGCGCGCCTTTTCCTGTGTATATGACGGGACTTTCTTGAGCGGGGAAATGGACTCCCCATGTTTTAGTAATCTTGCTCTTGGTTTTGTCTTCTATTCATAAATAGTTTCAAATTTCCCTAGCTGCTTGGTTTGCAGTCTGCTTCTGAATTGCATATGAGCATTTCAAACTAATGTCCGAAAGCCTTGATCATTTTTGGTGGATGATTTAACATTTTATGGGCATGGATGATTTAAAATAGGAGTATGTGTTATTCTGCCAAAAAAGGTATATAAAGGAATAATAAAATGTTATAAAATAAGAAATAATAAAATGTCATATTAAAATTCTTGAGTACTCATCTTATCACCTTTTATTAGGAAACCTCAAATCTTACAAAATTATGTATAAACATTATTTTTCATCAATAGATAATTTTACAATCTATAATAGTTTTAGCCTTTCTTATAATCTTACATGGAAAATGTTGCTTGTACAAGTTTTTGTACATGTCATTTTGCATGCCAATCGAATTGTTGAATTGTTGATGCACTAATAATTTTTTTCGTTTACTGAAGGACTTTTTGCACCAACAACTTTTTGTCTGGGGCACAAAAAAATGTCGATGTGAATATCAGTTCTTTTAACAAAACGAAAAAAATTGTTTGTGCAAAGACAATTCAATTCGCGCATAAAATTACATGTATAAAAAACGTGTATATGAAATGGCTTACAAATCACATTACTACTATTGGTACAAATGTGTGCTGTGTGCAACCTACAGAGATTGACTTAGAAAAATTATTAGTCTAAGTTTGTAGATATTTCTGAAAGTAGAAGTGTTGATAACCTTCACTTCAGCCAAAAAAATCGGCAAAAGCTATTTACCATGCTCTCTTTGGACGACTCTATATATTCTGATATTAAAAATTTGCTAACCAAACACAACCTAAAACTTCTCAAGAGCAGAATGCATTATATTTCTGAAAAAAAAATGAATTTCTTTAAAAAATATTGTCAGCTCAAGTTTCTCTCTCGAAATTTACACAAACTACAATGAATACAAGTATTCAAAAATTTTGGGGTATGTGATTTGTATGTGTATTTTAACTGTGTATGTTGCACTGTTGAAGATAGGGGTGTTCATAGTTTAAATGCTTCTTCCAATATGATATGTATTTCTCCATCACCAAATCCAGCCATGGTTTCATCGGCCCATCAAAATGTATAACCGCTGCCCTCTCAATCTCAGCTTTCTCCCTGCTGCTGGAGTCATCATAGCCTAACCCAAGGAGGTGCCATCTTTTGTCCAGCGCCAGTGTATGATTGTAAAAGGTTAGCCAACCTATTGGCAAACTACCAGCTTTCAATATTGGATTATTGCTTCCCTACACCATTATAATCCAAAACACCAAAGGAAAAAAATTGGAGTTATAATGAATAAAACTAGAGTTAAATGAAAATGAAAACAGAGAAAATCGGGAGAAAATAAAATATGGGGGTAAAGATGTTGCTAAAGATTGTTTACCAGCTGCACATACTGGTGATAGACTCCAGTTAAATTTCGCATCCTCCATTGTTGCAGATCAAACAAATTCATCCCAAATGCCCATGTGCATGTTTCCTTATCAAACTTCTTTTCCATGTTGGGGTTGGTGAAGTTGACAAACGCATCCATCCGGCGGAATGAAGGGTCTCCTTGTTCACAGGTCTGTACAGCTCCATTCACTTTACCCCTCATGTTAATGCCCCAAAGAGCCGCTAGATCCTTTTGCACAACTACATCATGGTCAAGAAAGACAATCTTGTCTAATGAAGGGAAAATATCTGGCAAATAAAACCGTAAGTGGTTCAGTGCAGACATATATCTCGGATCAAGTGAATCTTGAATCTGTAGATTTGTTTGGTATTTGGTGTGTAACCATTTCATATTGTCTATACTCTGGATATGAATTGTTGCTTTGCCTGGAGGGTTCAACAAAAACCACATTGATATTGCAGGCAGGGTAACAGAATTTGTGACTATGTGGAAGACAACTCTCTCGGGATCCTGTCAAGCATATCAACGTTCATCATCTTCAGCACATGTGTAATTGAGAATCTTTTTTTTTTATATTTCCATGTATCAAAAACAACATTTGCCTATTTAAGGCTTACTTTATAAACACCTCCAATGACGTGCATATATTTACAATAGAGTGCATGTATCCAGATGTGGTGTTTTACTAAAACAGCTCTCAATTACGAAGTATGTAGTATTATTTACAAACACTTCTTTCTTGGAACCCTCAGTCTTTTGACTAAAAAGGCATGCCCAAGTAAAATGATATGCAATAAGAAAATGACCAATTTAATCCCTATATCAATACAAAACCACCTAGAGATGAAGTAAACACAAACATACCTTAGCAGATGAAATGGTTGAGTTGACAACAACAGAACATGCCAAAATGTTGTCAGAAAATAGAGCAAAGTGATATCGATCTGAATGATGCAGCTTATGTTGGTTAGGGAGTTCTCTCTCATTGGGCATGAGGGAGAAGTATTCAGCAGTCAATCGCATGGAGAGGCAATGCAGGCCCTTAGGTGTAGCTCTTTCAGCTTGCCGTAGAAGAAAGCCAACATAATTCCTATGTGCTTTGACTTGCTGTTCAGTAGTATCTGTCATTGCACGAAGTTTTTTCACCATAGGTGGGCATTCAGGGAAGACATGGCTAGCCTTTGTTAAGGTCATTTCCATCGCTTTCATCTTCTGCAAAGCCCTGAAAAAAGGCAAACTAATTTGTAGATGAAAATTGCAACTTATTAATTGTTGAATGAAAAACTTTTATTTTTGCTCCCTCAACTATTAGGTCATTCCTTGCATTTTGGTCCACCAGTCTTATTATTTTCATTATCCGCTCACGACTATGGACATATCCATTTTTATCCTTTCCAGACACCCATGCACCTAACATCAGCCAAAAAATGTAAAGACTTTCGCCAGAAACGTGGTCGGAAGGACCACAAGTGGAAAATTTTGTTAATGGAATCCAGAGAACAAATTAATTACCAGGAGACCATTATTCATGAGAACTAAAATAATCGCCATTGAATTATGCAAGAAACCAAGCACTTAAATAACATTGTACTAAGATCACCATGGACCAGACCTTGTAAGAATATGGAGTAACTAGGCCAAATATAGAGTTTATGCTACGGTAAAGGAGGGTCAACTATCAGTCTGTCACTAACATAAGTAGGATACCCTGACCTATCTGATACACTTAAATACGAGCACATAGGAGAAAGGACCTAATATTATATCTTACTTCCGCGACAAATCTGAATCCTTAGTACTGTCGCGTATAGCTCTTTCCAGATCTTTGACTCGCAGCTTCATCTCTTTCACAAAATGAGATTTGCTACCTTGTGGGGTAAAACTCAGATATAACCTTGCTCTAATAAGCTGATCTTTCATCTCCTTTAACTTCATATCCGGTGGCTTCTGGGAATGGGACTTCCCACTATTATCATGTTGATACGTTATTGACTCATACTGTTCCTGCAATTAAACCATATACAACAAAGTTGGTAATCAATTTTAAATTTGAGAGCCAAAGGAATGGATAAGTTGACAATATTTACCAAATAAACTGGTGTGAGTATTTACCAAATAAACTGCTGGGAGAGCCGATAAAAAGAATTCAAAATAAGTGTCTCCCATTAAAACAACCCACATCTTGAATCTTAATTATCAAAAATTCAAAACTAAAAAACATATTGTATCCTCTGATCAATATCCCTACCACCATAGCAAGTGCAATAAATACTAAGTAATAAATACAATTGTTTTTTCACTTTGATCTTAAAGACTTCAAATCCAGTCACTAGTGTATTCAGCAATAGTCACACAGGGTATTAGTTCAACAAAAGTTGGACAACTTGAACTCTTACATGCAGGAAAGAAATACACTACCACTATATGCTAGTCAAGAAAAGGCACATAAGAATCCTAACCATCAGCCATCAATTACAACAAAAAATCAAAATTCAGCATCTCATCTGAAAGTGAAATCGAATGTATGATACACACCTATTATAGTCTACGGATAAAGGAAAAGCATGTATATATTTAAGCTTCTAAAGGTTCAGAAAGATGGCTTCTCAACAGAGCTAAAGTACGTTTCACCCTGGGAACTACCAATACAGTGCTTAGGAGAATGTCCGTGTAAGGAATTAAGGATGTAAGGAACAAGTGCGTCAAGGCTCCCCATCTATATTGCACAAGATTATGAGTATAATTTTAGGCAGTTTGAATTCATACATTTCCCTTTGATTTCTGTTCTACTCCCTCATTCTGACTGTGTTGATTCTCTTTTTCAATAACTTGCATGTTTCCTGAAACAAGTTAACAACTGAGTGGGCAAGGATGGATTGATAATATAAAAAGAAGAAAACTATGTACTCTATAATGATATTGGACTACCACACACCGTTTTCTCCTGAGGTTGAATTGCTTGTTCTCTTGGGCTGACCAGACCTATTAATCTCAATTACAGGATTGGTCCTAAACTTGTCGTCTTTGTAAACAGCCCGGTGTGGCTCTTTCACATCTTCTGCTTCTTCCTATGTCATATCAAAAAATTCATCGAAATAAGTAAATAAGTAACAATGCCCAGTAATCACATGCACATCCAAACCAAACTTAGAAATTTATATTACCTCCTCCATTGCACGGGAGGCATAAGCGTCTATCCTATGCTTCTGAATCATGAAAAGGTCAAGTGTTGAGTCAATGATGTAAGAATACTATTCTTTTCTCGAAAAACACTGAAAGGGTACATATGCAAAAATAGTGTGATCATGAATGAAGAGAAAAGGAAACCCAAGAATCTTAAGGCCTTTCAAGGTCACCGCTCTAGATTTCTAGAGGTAAGCCCAAAGAACAGACGTAGACGTATTGTGTTCATGATTCAGAACAAAATTAAGAATAAAATGTGAACTCAATTCCTCAAATCAGATAAACAAATTATACTTAGTATTTACTTATTTCACCATAAAAAAACAAATAAAACTAAGAGAAGTACCAATCATCTCGCCTATTTGTTCATACACCAATGAATAAAATAATGTAAACCTACTCAGGATGATAAAAACTTACAATAATCGATAAATCTTCGACAAATTCTCCGGACTCTGCGCCCAGTCAAATATGAAAAGAATCAGGATTAATAAGGCCAAAACGTATACTGTTCGATCACAAGCTTAAGAAGTGAAAATTAAACACTGGAATTCTGGAAATGATACCGACCACGAACATGAAATCTTCTTATCCTGTGATGTAGGACGAAGATAGGAACGCCAACAGAGACGGCGAGCAAGAAGAGGATGAAAATCCTCGTGCGTCGATGGAATTTCCTCATTTTACATCTACGAAAGGCGCACAAGTATAATCCTAAATCTCAATTGAGTTTAGCAAACTAGTGGTTTTAAGCATCCACACTGCAAGTCCAATTGCATACCGATCATGTACATATAACTGTTTAAGACCACTCTCTGCGTCTGCCTGACTAGGGTTTTTTCCTATTCGGTAGGCAACGGAGTTTGAGTGATTTCAACAGCTAGAATGAATAGATTTGATTGGAATGTTGAAAGCGATGAAGACGGAGCTAGAGAAGTGCCATGTTCGCATGTTCAAGCAAGCAAGAGACGAGATTCCGTTCAAAAAAGGAAGTTGTTTAATTTTTTTCTTTAATCGCCTTTTTCGGGAATTTATATTTTCCTGTGGGGCTAACAGAAGTACTACGCTTTTGGAGGGGGATTTGAATTGAAAGTGGCAAAGTGCAAGTGAATAGGCATGCCAAAATTACACATGTTTTTATTTAGAATGTGATCTCTCTATTTAAGTCTTATCTCCCATGATCTCAATAGGTTTGATCTGGTTTAAAACTTTAAAAGATGTATGTGCTTTGTATATTTTATAACTGTTAAAATCTGATCTAGTCTAGTCTGTTAAAGTCTAGTTTGATTTAGGGAGTGTCTGCGATTACTTCTACTTTAAAAAAGCAATTTTTTAAAGTGATTTTGGAGAAAGTATTTAATAATAAAAGTTAGTAGTGTTTGAGAAAAAAGTGATTCTGAAAAAGTAAAAGTTAGTAGTGTTTGGTAAAATAAGTACTGTTTGTGTAATAGAAAAAGTGAAAAGCAGTTTAAAGCACCCTTCCATCTGCTTCCAGCTTTTAAGTTTTAAGTGATTAATTTAAGCAGAAGCTGTCATTAGAAAACACTCTTTTCAGCTTTTTTTAAGCCAAAAGCTGAAAAACGCTTTTTTAAGCAACTGCAAACACTCCTTTAGTCAGGTCTGTTTGAATCATATAGAGCCACACAAATTTTATCAAATTTAGTATGGGATAATTTTAGTGGGACGGGCCAAAAAGATAAAATGAGGCAGTCATAGTGGGACAGAGGGAGTAACTTTTAATTTCGCGTTGATATGCAATAAATCAAAATAAGTGAGGTTAAGGAGGTGTTTGGATCTGATTATGCTCCTTCAGGGAGCAGAAGTAGATATTGGAATATTTAAGTGAAAGTGCAGAAATACTTCTGGGAATTCCATATTACTTCTAGAAACAGTTTTTTAGAAGATGAGGAAGACCAGCTTCTAAAAAATTGATTATGATTCTGTTTTTGCTTTCACAAAAAAAAAACAGAAACATAATCAGTTCCAAACAATCTCTGAAGTTATTTTCATGATAGAATTGACTAAATTTACTATTTTTCATATATTCCCTCCGTTCCCAAAAATACTTCTTATTTTCCTTTTTGGGTCGTTTCCAAAAATACTTCTCACTTTCTTTTTTTGGACAATTTGTGTGGCTCATATTCATTTTACATTTTTCTAACGCAACCACAATCATACATTTTCACTTTATTCCACTTTCTTAATAAACATGTCAAGTCAAACCGGGAAGGATTTTTAGGAATGGAGGTAGTATATATTTTTCGTTATTTTATCGATAAAATATATCTTAATATAATGTTTTCATAATTCATAAGAAAATATTACGGAGTGTATTTTTATTTTTTAACTGATGGTAAAGCTGATTTACTCTCTACTTTTTAGTTTTTACTTTTCCCTCATTCATTTAATTGCTTGCTTTTTAACGGTTAAGGTAAGGAGCCCGTTTGGTAGCACCAAAATCGGCTGTTTTGGCTGATTCTGCTGAAATTTATGATATTCTGGCTGGAGTGGCTGTTTTGGCTGATTCTGCTGATTTAAGAAAAAAATATTTTAAAAATATATTTTATTAATAAATTAAAGAAAAAATTATATGTAAAAATAGCTAAAATGGTCCTCTACAGTAACTTCAGCCAATACAGCCAGAAAAGTAACTCCAACCTTACTTTTTCGGCTTATTACACAATTCAGCGCGCGAAAGTAAAAGTTACGTGTTTGGTGAAAAAGCTGGCTGATAAGCCTGATAAGCCGAAAACAGAGTTCTCCAAACGGGCTCAAGATGTTTTTCTTTTAAGATATGTCCATACACACGTAGGACATAGAGCACATGAGTCATTGACAGCAGCAGAAAACAAACATCACCATCTGTCTAACCAACCAATCATACTGCAGTGCATACTCCATCCCTCTCTACCAAAAACAATGCATATTTTCCTTTTCTAATATTTAAATTTCTTTTTAAATTAATAAAGGTTTAGTTCACATTATTAGTCCCCTCTATGCTAATTCTCTCCTCTACACAAATTTTAATCACATTATTAATCTCCTCTATACTTGATTCAAAATTGGTCAATCTGTATGGGTTGGATATATACTTACAAACTCCAGCCTGCAACAACATCATACCACCCCCTCAAAGCTACCACTCACCTAACTCTCTCTGTCTCTTTCACAAATAATTGCTCCCACCCCATCAGTCCTTGCATTTGAACTATCTGCTCATTTGTAGTAGAATAGAATAAACAGAGAAGAAGATCCAGAAACTGGCATATATCTTCAACTCAAATTGCCTGAAGATTGAAACTTTGGTGAATGCTGAGGAGAAGACACAGAAGATGAAAAGCTCTGTAGTGTCAAGAAGCTGGGCTGTGTTTGACAAGAATGGGGAAAGCTCGGTTGTGGATTTGGATAAGTATGGAATCATGAAAAGGGTTCCCATTCACTCCCGGGATCTGCGCATTCTGGACCCTCTCCTCTCCTATCCCTCTGCCATTCTTGGCAGAGAAAAAGTGATTGTTCTCAACTTGGAGGTCAGTCACATCAGATTCTAATTGAAAAGGTCATTCTTTCTTCTTCTTATTCTAATTTGAATGAACTGTAATTCATCCTTTATGCAGCATATCAAAGCTATAATAACTTCTGAAGAGGTAATCACTCTCACTGACTAGCGCCTCAAATCTGAATAGTCTTTCTGGTATTATCATATCTCACCTATCATTAGTGGTGGGGAGACTGGTTCTTATTCTTTTTACCACTTTTTTATGTTTGAAAGCACATTGACAAAGCAATAAATGCTCTCTATATCCCAGACCCGACCAACATTGACCTCCAATCTAGCTAGATTACATTGCTTACAAATAGTATAGCATGATTAGAATGCCCATTTTGGCTACAGAGTATTAAGTACATGCTTTCTTCTTAACTAACTAACTGTAGTGATTTGACTTTCGGACTTGTTAAATGTCACAACTTTGATCCATAATACGAAGTATATTTAATTAAATTTACAAAATCAGTACTTCTTCGGTCCCTCCGTCCCTATTAAAATGTGGCTTTGTTTCACACAATTTAAGAAAGTGACATTATTTGACACTGTTTAGATACTGTTTGACAATGTTTTGTTTACCAAATAAGGAAAGGATTTTTTTAAGGATGATCGAAAAGGAAAGCGAGATGCTTATTTAGGGACGGGGGAAGTATAAAATAATGTTTGTAAAAATTTAGATGTAAGGAAATCTAAAAATATTTCACATAATACTCGTATCATTTTCCAATCATTTTTCAATACATTATTGAATAAAATGAATAAATAATAAATTATATGAATAATATAAAAGTCAAACTCTTCCAACTAAGCTAATTCTTTACTATCTTTTGTTTCATCTTTATTAGCACCACTATGTTTGTCTAATTCTTTCCTTCTAGTTTTTTACTTAGCATCAATAATGTTTTCAGATAGTTTAAGAGAAAATAACAAGGATCCCAAAATATTGTTGAAAAATATAAATAATACTCCGATACGTAGGAAAAGAAATTTGACAGTGTGAATATATGTGACATGGTAGAAAAAGTAAGAACTAGGGCTGTTAACGAGCCGAGACGAGCCCGAACACCTAAAGCTCAAGTTCGGCTCGATAAGGAATTAATGGTGTTCGGGTTCGAGCTCGAAGCTCGGCGAGCTTTTCAAATGAGGCTCGTGTTCGGCATTCGATGTTCGAACCGAGCGCTCGATAAGCTTGATAAATATGGCCAAATTTAAAATTTTAGGTGATGCTCGTTAATAGGCTCGTGCTCGAATGATTCAACAAGTATTTGGTTCGTTAATAATCATATTTAAATTCATAAAATCATACTAGTTATATTTAAATATTGATTATATATAAATTATTTTTATAATTTCAAGGTGTTCGATAGGCTCGAGTTCGAACAGAACCGAATACTACTATGTTCGAGCTCGGCTCGATTAATTTTTCGAACTCAAAACTCAGCTCGGGTTCGAGTTCGAAAGCTCGTTAACTCGGCTCGTTAGGTTCAAAAACCGAGCTCAAACTCGAATAGTTCGATAAAAGCTCGGTTCGTTAACAGCCCTAGTAAGAACATTTATGTATTTTTTGCCGTGTTGGAGTTTGTCAAGTTTGACTGATACATAAAATAAAAAGTAAAAATGGTGATTTTAGATATAAAAAAAATAAGAAAAGTGAATTTGTCACTTTAAAGGTTAAAGGCAATAGGACCACTAAGGATGTTTTCTTTTGGATTGAAATTTGCTGGTCTGGTCTGATCTGGTCAGGTCTGGTCTGAACTGGTCTAGTCTGGTCTGGTAAACGTCTGGTCTCTGTGTATTTTATAACTACGAAAATCAAGTATGGTCTGATCTGGGACTGAAAACGGTCCAAAAGAAAACATCCGATTAGGAGTTGTAAATTTTCAAACTATAGTAGTATTTATAGATAGAAGACGTACCAAAATATGAGAGTGTTGCAAATAATAAAATACCTCTTTTTTTATCATCAAAACCCAAATACTGTGTTAATTTAGAGAATCGTTTGCCAACAGACTTGGAATAGTCAAATACATACGGACTTGATCTGAGATTTAAACATGTTCTCTAGTTAACGCATGAGCAACACGATTCGCAGACCGTTTACAATAAGAGATCTCAAAATTCCTCTTAGACTCTAACAAAAACCTGATGTCATCCAGAATAATATGAATATAAGAGCACCCACCCCCCTTTCGAATACCATTTATCACCATAAGAGCATCAGACTCTATCTCCACCTTGTTCCATCCAGCCTCAATTGCTCCAATGACAGCTTCCGTTTCAGCCGGAGTCCAATTGGCTCTGGATGACCCTCCTCTTGCCTTGATAAAACTTCCATCCTCATCTCTTACTACCCAACTCCATGTGCGGATCTTGCTTGCCTCGTTATTAGCCCCATCCACGTTGATTTTTATAGTCCCCTGCATCCAGGGATGGATTTAGGGGGGGGGCGCGGGGGGGGCGACCGCCCCCCTTGGACATTCAATTTTTTTTACCATATATGTAATATTTTCATAAAACTTTCATAATTTAATTAGATTCGCCCCCCTTAGCTTTTTTAATTTTCAAAATTAGTATATAGTCTTACATAATGTAATACTTAATTGGAGATTTAAAAGAAGAAACATCTAAAATAATTTACATAACTTAAACAAATAAACAATAGAGTAACTCGTTATTTAAGATTTAGGATACTTATTAAATAAGAATTCATAGTTTTGTAATGTTTAATTATCTTTATTAGATAACAAGTACTAGATTTTGTAAAACATATATTAAACAATATTAAATACCAGACACACTAATTACACAACTTTTAGATCACGTGAAATGAATCCAAAATATAAAATATTTATAGACATTAGATTACATAATTCATTTACTTCTTGCTTTCTAAAAATAATTTATTGCATGGATAATAAACTTTAAATCATTATAGAATTAATAAAAATATTAAAATATAATATGCACCATATGTTTGTGTGTATGTGGTGCATATTATTCTAAAAATAACAATCTCATACATACTAGTATACTACTATTGTAATATTAAGAAAACTTCTCATGAGTCATGACTCACGAACACCCTCATTGGTGGACAAAAATTGCAATTCAATAACCGATTCATGAGGTTAAACAATGTAGAAGTTATTAAAAATGTATTGGTTGATATTTTTGTCATTGTCTAAACTTAGAATGTAATAGATTTAAATGCCGCTCGGGATGTGCATGTATTAATGTAATTTTTTGAATAAAAATAGCCGCATAGCTTTACAGCAACGAAAAAATTTCACCCCGCTACACTAGGGGAAAATTTTCACCCCGCTACACTAACAAAAAAAATTCACCCCCTACACTAGCGAAAAATTTCGCCCCCCTTGACTCAGAATCCTGGATCCGTCCCTGCCTGCATCTTTTAAAACACATAGAATAATGAAGTACTATGGTAATATTTGTCTGATTTAAATTCATTCATTAATTCATATTTTGCAAATTTAGTACTCCATATATATCAACCACAATGATTTTAGTTTTTTAAATACTCCGTATATATATTGGTTTCGTTTAATTTCCTTAAATCAATTAGCAGAGCGGGGTAGCCATCTAACATTTCTTGATACATAAATATAAAAACTAGGAAAAATGAGCAACTAGTTTTTCTTTGATACTCTGGATTCATAGTTTTATGAGTTTTCTCTCTCTAAAATCACATTTAAATGATCCATTTGGAGTTGCGAAAATGCTAAAGAAAGTAAAGATAGAGATCAGTATACAAGTATACAACGTACAAATAGTAGGAGAATGAAACATTTGTTCAAGTTCAATAAATTTGTTCTTAATTTCAAATTCATATTTACGTATTCATTTGATTCTATTACGGAGTATATATTAAGAACTCTGAAGGTATTTTTATTCGTTTAAATTAATTTTTCTTTAAATTTGAAGATTCAAAATCAAATACTAGTATAAAAAAACAATTTGTTTGCCATTTTCTTTTCATTCCCTAAATTCCATTTAACTTGTTGATCTTTAAATTAATTCTTTAAAATCGTAGAGAAAATTGCATACTTAGTCGTGTAGTTTATAAATGTGTACATTATTCGTCACCTAATGTGTCCCGATAGTTGACGTTTGTGACTAAATCAAATGGGTTGGGAATAGGTTTTACTTCGTGACCCACAGGATGACAATGTTATACCTATTGTTGAAGAACTTCAAAGAAGGTTGCCCCTCGCTAACGGTCTAGCAGAAAGGGACGACGATGACGGGTCACCACCGGGGTTAAGAACTAGTGAAGAAACTGATGTTGAGCAAACCGGTATAAAACATGAGTACCACTTACATTTGTGCTATTAATTTATGTTGGCAAGATTTTGTTCATGTATATATACTTTCATGAGTGATCTTCATAGCTAACACATGAACTTGACTTGATAATGGTATATTATGAATAAAATGTAGAGTTCCCTTTTGAGTTTCAAGCCTTAGAAGTAGCTCTAGAAGGTATATGCAGCTTTCTTGACACACAAACAAGGGACTTGGAGACTGCAGCTTACCCAGCTTTAGACGTATTAACTGCAAAGGTATTTCATATGTCGGTGTGAGATATTTTGGTAGAAGTTTAATTTATGTCCTTCAATAATCAGAGAGTATACATACTTCTTTCAATTCCATTGATAAAAACAAGATCCTTCAATGATCCACATTGTAAAGAACAAAAAGTAGCTTGAAATGCATTAACTAAATTTTAAATATTGAACCCAACCAACTTTATTAAACTCATAACATTATATACTTATGGCCTCAAAAGTTACTTCGTATGATAATCAAATGTTACTACGTATAATAATGTGCAGATTAGTAGTAGTAATCTGGATCGGGTGCGCAAACTGAAGAGCGCAATGACAAGAATGACAAGTCGGGTTCAGAAAGTACGTCTTCATCATCTATTTGAAAACCAATTAATTTGAATTTGCGAATCCGTTTTTTTTTTTCTGATTTAGAATTATTTGAGCATAACTTTGCTTCTTGATGAATCTTTTCTTAATTATTATATTCATACATATTCAAGGTGAGGGATGAACTTGAGCAACTTCTTGAAGAAGATGATGACATGGGAGATCTTTACTTATCAAGGAAATCAGCAGCAGCAGTTTCTTCTCCAACGAGCTGTAATGTGGTTCCTGACTTGTTCCATGACTCTCCAACCATTAGCTCTAAATTGTCCAGAACCAGTAGGAGATCAACTCATCATGGTGAAACTGATGTTGAGGAACTTGAAATGCTTCTTGAGGTTATATTATTATCATGAAAAGCCCAAATAGAGGGGGAACAATCAATTTTAGTGGCACTTTAGTTTAAGTTATTTGTTAGAATATCTAACACCAGTAAGTATAAAGAACAAACAGCAAGATTTGTTGTTTCAGTCCCGTAGCTATCCGAGTCCTAAAACTAATAATTTTATTCAATTTAAGAAGGGAAAACTGTCAAATAGGTCCTCAAACTTTCATAAAAAAGTCAATTAAGTCCTTCTATAGGAGACTCTGTCCGGTCGTCCCGATTTGGGGCGGTTCCCGGTGGAATTTTTTGATGAATTTTTTTGAGCATCTTATTCATCAAGTCTAGTTTACTCATACCAAGTTTCAGCTAAAAATTTAATCGGGAGCGCATTCTAATTAATTCGAGAAAGCAAAAATGCGCAGTTATCTTCATGAATTAATTTGAATGTGTTTCCGATTGAATTTTTAGCTGAAATTTGGTATGAGTAAACTAGACTTGGTGAATAAGATGCTCAAAAAATTTCATCAAATAATTCCACCGGGAACTGCCCCAAATCGCGACGGCTGGACAGAACCTTCTATAGAAGGACTTAATTGACCTTTTTATGAAAGTTAGAGGACCTATTTGACAGTTTTCCCATTTAAGAACTTTTTCATCAGAAAAGTTGCTACCCGCATACATTCTAGGTTGTGGGAGCGTCTTGATATAGACAAATTTATTAGTTACGCAAATGCGTGAAGTTCTAGGACTACTAATTTAATGGGGCACGAACATAATTTGCGGGATAAAATAGACAATTGTCTCGAACAAACAATAAGATCTGGAACTACTCCTAACAAATAATGAGATCTCGATTAACTCTGCTGATCTGATCTAAACAATAATAACAAAAAAGAAAGCACTAAACATAAGGCTATAGATTCTGTCACTTTTAGTTCTCTGGACCTTCAATCACAATAAAATCTGTGGTTGGTTTTTGTTGTAGAAGTGATCCAAAATTAACCAAAGTTACAAGGAGTCTATTCCTCTACCAAGAGTGAATTTGTAGCTAACAATAGGAACGACCAAATAAGGTATGATTAAAAAAGTGAAGTTTCCTTTTTTTCCTAATCCCAGAGAGATGTCCCTGTGCTTTATCTGTTGCTCAAACCCATACATTTGGTGATTACTGATTAGTGAATGTATATCTTATATGCAGGCTTACTTTGTGCAAATAGAGAGTACTATGAACAAGTTAACAACGGTATGTATATAGAATGGTATGTACATATGCAATCCTAATCATGTTTATATGCATTATAATCCCTCATCATGTTTCACACACTAACTAAACAAAATTGTGTGATCGGAATTTATTTAATCAGAAAAGAATTTTAAGAGAAACTAATTTGGGAGGAAATGTGCTATCATAATACGTGTTTGTAATAGTCACAAATTAATTCAATTCAATGTATGAAATGGACGATGTGTGCATTATTATGCTTTCTTGCTTTGCAGTTGCGAGAATACATCGATGACACAGAAGATTATATTAATATACAGGTAAACACACATAAATTTGCTTTAAGTCGATTACAATTATATTAAGAATGACGCTTTAAGATTAAGCTTTCACACTTTCACCTTGCATGTAACTCAAACGAGTAAACGTTTAAAAAATACTCGTATGATAAGATATTGCACACTCGTGTCTGGAAAAGAAGATGTCATTTGACTTGCACAAAATATACAAGATAAAATTTTATTTCGACTTTCTAGATATTACATCAAATCAAGTCACTTTTTCCTTTTCAGACCGTTCCTAAATAAAAGTCTCATTTCCTTTGGATAAACAAAACAAAGCAAACAATAACAGTGTCCAAACTGCCCATATATTGCCTAACAATCTCACTTTCTTAAAATGTGTGTAAAATTAATGGGGACCTTACATAATGACCAAGGGAGTATGTAAGATACTCGTAGGTAATTTTGATACATAAAACTCACATAAATTAGAATAAGTGAAGCAATTTCAATTGTTCATACGAAGTAATAATACTTCAATTCTATGGTCGCAGCTTGACAATCACCGAAATCAGCTCATCCAGGTACTATACTATACCATTCATTTATTAAGTGCCCGTTTGGTAATAATAAAATCGGCTGAATCAGTTGATTTTGCTGAATTTTATGAAATCTGTCTGGATTGACTGATTCTGTTGATTTATGAAAAAATTATATTCAAAGTAGTAATACTACGTATTCATTAATAAAATATAGAAAAAAAAATATAAAAAATTAGGTAAAATGATCATCTACGGAAATTTCAGCCAATACAGCCAGAAAAGTAACTAAAACCTTATTTTTTTATTTTTTATAACATAATTCAGAGTGAGAAATATAAAATTACGTGTTTGGTGGAAAAATTGACTTATAAACCTCATAAGTCAAAAAATAGAGTTACCAAGCGGGCTCTAAGTTATTGTGAAATTGTGAGTTCCATATGTAAGAATTATCTGGAATTATTTATTATTCCTTCTAATTAAGTTATGGAAGGAACCGATGGGCGCAGCTGGAGCTGTTCTTAAGTTCTGGTACGGTCTGCTTGACAGTTTACTCAATGGTGGCTGCCATATTCGGCATGAATATCCCCCATCCTTGGAAAGATCATCACGGCTACCTCTTCAAATGGGTATGTCTTTTCATCCTAATCCCTTGTTCTTTTGCAATTTTTCTTACTTGGTTGTTACAAAAGGCTTTACAAACTTTCCAATTCAAGAAATTTATATGTGGTTTATAATAATTAGCACCTAGAATTGATGATTCCATCGCATCTGTTGTCTATTATATTTATTCATCAAGTAGTTGTCGTGAATGCAAATCAAACATTGTTTCAAAATAGCATCATACGTTTTTGTGAAATAAGTGGACGTTTGGATTTGATTCTAAAAATTGTTTCTGCTCCTTGGAGCAGAACCAGATGTTGGAGTGTTTGGGTGAAAGTGAAGAACTCATTTTGGTGCTCAAATTTATTCTTAGAATCCGTTTTTTAGAAGTTAGGGGAGACCAGTTCCTGAAACACTCCCTAAAAACGTTATGAATTCCAAAATATGACAACTATGTTTTTCTTAGGGCTGCACAAGAATAACCCGAACCCGCATAACCCGCCCGACCCAACCCTACCCGACCCTATTTAATCGGGTATTTGATTTTTAAAAATATCCATGGGTTAAATATGTTTGAACCCGCACCTAATGGGTAGGGTTGCAGAATTAAAATCTCAAACCCGATAGCACCCGACTCGGCCGAAGTTCACTTTACTATTATTATGCTACAATGTGCTCTATCTAGGACTTTATGATATTAGAACTATAATTAAACATTTATCATTTTGACTAGATGATTATTATATATTTATGTTTCCTTCTAAATGAACTTCCTTTACGGAAGGATGTTTTAATACTATTACCTAATGTTTTTGCTTATAAAAGATACGAGTACTTGTATCTTTGTGTTTTGGAAACAAGTTAATCGAGTTTTAAATAGGTACATTAATTTCCCACATGAAAGATGTAACCCGAAGTGATTTTTTTCCCCAATACCCGACCCTACCCGACCCGTTCATGAATGGTTTACCAATTTATTTTGCGTACCGCGGGTTGGTTAATAGCCAACCCGAACAAATCGGGTATGCCCAAAAAATATAGCAAACCCGACCCAACCCGTCCGATGTGCAGCCCTAGCTATAGCTTATGTTGGGGGCAGTGGCGGAGCCAAGGGGGGGGTCAGGGGGGTCAGTCGACCCTGCTGAAAGTTTGAGAGCATAGAGCTCTGAAATATCTTCGATTTGATATATTATGGACCCTGTAACTCATTACGAGTAAAAAGTTATGACTTCTGCAAAATCAGCACTATCTAAACATAAAATCAGCAAAATTTGATGAGTAATATTGATTTTTTCCCCCAAATTTTAAAATAGCGTATAATTAACTCATTACTTACGTGACATGACTCAAAAATAGAGCAAAAACAGTCTCTTTTATTGTTACGAGTGCCTATTTATATAAACTACATATAAAATATTCAACTCGGACATTGTTTGGAAACGATTCACCGTTTTAATTTTGTATAAAGTTGATTCTCGACCCCCCCCTGGACCATATTTCTGGCTCCGCCACTGGTTGGGGGCGGGGGTCAAGGCCCTCCCAACATTTCATTTTTTAATTAGTGGTATTACTTTTTTTGCCCTCCAACCGTGTTATTCTTTAGTGTTTAGTAGTCGTATACTAAATAATTAGGATTTGTTTCATTACTTGCATTGAATAGTTAGTCCGGATACTATGTAGTATTTCAAGGGTTAATTTCTAGATAATAACTAAGATGTTATAATTTATAAATTATAATAAAATACTACTATTACTTGCTACTAATGTGGTACTTTGTCAGCTTTTCTTTTTTATTTGTTTCAAAAACTTTGTCACCTTTCACTTAAACCAATGAATCTATAGTTCTGCACTTCTGGTTATTTCGCTTTCATTTGCACAAACTTCAACCGCGTAGTTTTTAATTTTTATATTTTACACCTAACATAAATTAAACAAAGTCCAATGGAATGAAAGGATTATATTATTATTTCTATTTCACCCTGGTCCCCTTCAATCGAATCATGGCTCCGTCCCTAGTTACTGTCACAGTTGAGAAATATTGTCATTAATAATAGTAAATATTGTCAATATTTATTTCTAAAATTGCACTTATTTTGACATTCATAACTCTAAGATGACATTAAACACTATCATGTTAGGATGTTTTTACTTGGAATGCAATTTGTTGGTCTGGTCTGATTTGATCTGGTCTGGTCTGGTCCGGTCTGGTAAGGTCTGGTTTCTTTGTATTTTTATAACTATCCAAGTCTAGTCTGGTCTGGTCTGAACTGGTCTGGTCTGAGACAAATTACAGTCCAAGTAAAAACATCCTTACTCATATTTGAAAAAAATAGTAGTTCTATATATACTCTTATTTTCAAAAATTCTCCATATGTTTTTTTATTCAGAATTCAATTCCTATTACATCGTTCCAAGTTTCCTCCAAATTTTTTTTCCCTTCTCTCGCACGAGAACCCTCCTTGTTCTTCTCCCTATCCCCACTCTCCTCCCCTTCTGCTCCCACCTCTCAGATTGAGTATACACTTCTGACTTTTCTTCCCAGCTCCAGCTAGGGGTGTGCATCGGTTTAAAACCGGACCGAATCGGACCGAAATCGGAACCAGGTTTGCAAGAAAATAGAACCGAAAACCGGACTGGATATATTCTGGTTTTGAACCGGAACTGAACCGGTTTAACTAGTTCAAAACCGGAACCGGACCGGAAAATCGGTTTCTAAATTATTAATTTAATTTACTAGCAAATAATACTTCTTTATTTAATAAAAATAAGGGTATTTGTGACTAGTAATATTACTATAATACTATTACTATTATTATTTATTTAATTACTTTTATTATTCTTAGAGAGCAAAGATTGAAGCAATTTGATCGTAAAATAGTAGATATTAGTTTATACTATTATCAAGAAAATAAGAATAAATAGATGAATAAAACATTAGAACAATATACACTACATATCAAAACAATTACTATTTATATTATTATTATTATTATTATTTGTTATTCTACAACTATTTTATATTAATACTATTGATTAATATTTTAAAGGCTAAAGGGTCAAATAGGTACATGAACTAACTTAAAGTGTTCAATTAGGAGATTCTACTCGGCCGTCGCCAATTGAGGCGGTTCCCGGGGGAATTTTTTGATGAAACTTTTTGAGCATCTTCTTCATTAAGTCTAGTTTACCCATACCAAATTTCAGCTAAAATTTCAACCAGGAAGGAAGTCAAATGATTTTTTGAGGATAACTACGCGGTTAACCAGCGCAACACATTTCGGAAAATCATTTGACTTCCTTCCCGGTTGAAGTTTTAGCTGAAATTTGGTATGGGTAAACTAGACTTAATGAAGAAGATGCTCAAAAAATTTCATCAAAAAATTCCACTGGGAACCTCCCCAATTGGCGACGGCCGGGCAGAACCTCCTATATAAGGGGCTAATTGAACACTTTAAGTTAGTTCATGTACCTATTTGACCCTTTAGTCTATTTTAAAAATATAGCAATACCGTTTTAATCCAGTTTAAACCGAAGCAATCCGGTTTTAAACCGGACCGGAAACTCAGATTTATAATAGTTGAAAACCGAAAGCGGGACCAGATATCATCCGGTTTGGTTCGGTTCCGGTTTTTCGGTCCGGTCCGATTCAGTTTTCCGATTTGAACCGATTTATAACACCCCTATCTCCAGTCACCTGCAGAAGGTTTGGGCGGCGGTAGACTTGTAGGCAAGGTGGTAAGCTCCTCTTGTGTTTCCTTCATCTGTTAAGTTTTTTGCTAATTTCATTTGTTTAATTTTCAGATTCAAAATGAGAATTGTTGTTTTGGATCTTAAATTTTTGAATTATAAAACGACAGGCTAAAAAGATTGGTTATTTTAAATTTTGGATCTATTTTTTTAATTAACTAAAATTTATTTTTTTTGAAAATTGACATAAACTTTTCCTAGCCTTTTTAAAATTGAAAATGTCTTAGCGAGACAAGACCTCTTACTATTTAACTAGAATACAAGTTTTGATGTTGTTCCTGATTGTATTATAAGTCCAAAAAATTGAAAATGTCAATTCAAAAATAATGTTATTTGAAGATGACAAAGTAATGTATCATAAATACAGCATCTTTAGAGAGCTTTTTTAAATATATTTTCAGGTTCAATTAAAACATAAAACACGTGATATTCAAAACATAAATAATGTTGAGTATAAATATTCCTCGAATGACAGATTTAGTTCTCAATAAAAGAAAATTGATTAGTATTTTTGTATCATTTAGAGTGTTGATGAATTTATTTGCATATTTCAATCAAAATATTAAAACATACTCCCTCCGTCCCAATATAAAAGGAACACTTTCCTTTTCGGGCCATCCCAATATAAAAGTCACATTTTCCTTTTTGGCAAACAAAACAGTGCAAAACAGTGTCAAACAGTGTCCAAACAGTGTCAAGCAATGTCTAAACAGTGTCAAACAGTGTTCACCCTAAAAGTGTGTGGAAACGCAAATGTGCCTTTTATATTGGGACGGATGGAGTATTATACTCGAAATATTATACGTAGTATTTAGGATGGTTCTATTATGACTTATTTCATATCAAATCAGATTAGATCAAATTTAAACAAATCGAATCAAACCAAATTAAATTAGATCAGATCAGACCAAAATTTTCAAACCTATTAATAACACTAGTTTGTTATGTTCATGACAAAAATGAGATACTCCGTAATTTGATACTTCCTCCATCCTGGAAACAAGTTTCATCTTTCCTTTTCGGGCAACACCAAAATTAAGTTCTACTTTCAAACATTTTCTATTTGGCAAATTATTTACATCAAAACAATGTCAAACAGTGTCAAACAATGTCCAAACAATGCAAACAGTGCACTCCACAATAAAGTCAAATTCATTTTCTTAATATGTGTGAAGTCAAACTAGAAACTTAATTAAGAGCGGAGGAAGTCGGTAGTACGGTGCACAATTTTTAACCCACGTGAAGTTATACGTAGTACGGAGTATTATTAGTGGATTTGAGTGATACTCCAAGTGATTAGACCCTACTTTGGACAGAAGTAGGTGTTTGATTCAGTGATTTCAGTCCCTTTTTTTGGTATTGTGCAGGTGGTCATCTTGGCATCACTGATTTGCGGGTCCCTCTTCATATCATTAATCTCTTATGCACGACATAGGGGTCTGGTGGGATGATCGATCTTCCTTCCATCTGCTCCAATAAGGGCATCTTTTCTTTCATCGGACAAATTACAATATATTGGTTCATTTTTGGAGCAATACTTTGTCTATAAAAAGTTGGCATGTTCCTCATTTTGACTACTCCCTATTCTTTATAAATGTTTACTATTCGGTATTCTTATTCATTATACTCCCTAATTCGTAGGGGTGGGATCCAGTGGCGGACCTAGAGGTTTGTGAGAGTGGGGGCACACTAGACACTAAAGTTAGTCTATAATAATAACTCCAAATGTAATAAAAATGGTAAAAAAATGTACGCAGTATTAAATTGGGAAAGTTCCCGAAATAGGACTAAAAAAGTTTGAAAATTCCAAAATAGGACTGTCATGTTTTTATTCCCAAAATAGGAGTAATTACTGCCAAGTTTGGAAAATACTGTCATGTTTGAAGTCTGATACTGCCAAAACATGGCAGTAATTAGTCTTATTTTGGGAATAAAAACATGACAGTCTTATTTTGGAATTTTCAAACTCTTTTAGTCCTATTTCGGGCAATATCTCTATTAAATTATACAGAATAGTTACTTACATATTAAATATTTCAGTGCTGCAACTTTGGTAAATCAAGCCCACGAATTTTCATATTCTAAAAATGTTGCATAATAGTTTCATTACCGATGCTTCTAAAAACATCTCTCTCGATGTAGCACACCAAGCAATTCGTAAGATAGTCATCTCCCATCATATTGCGAAGATCTGTCTTGATTATCAACAATTTTAATTTTTAAAATAATCCCCCAACTAAAAAGCAGGTGTCGTCAATGCAGAATAAATTGAAAATAAACTTACAAATCAAGGAAATATGGGAGGATTGAGCGGTGTAGGCGTGCGGCGGTGCAACATCAATTCAGCTAGACAGCGAAGTCCCCAGAGGCCAAAGCCAAGGCAGCGACATCCCCTAAAGTCGTAATTCGTAAACCGTCCGCGTGATTTTTATCATTCTAGTCTTCCAAATGTTAGTGGGTTTTTAGACTTTTATCACTCCGTAGTTTTAGTTGCCCGCACATTAGCTACTCTTTTGCATTTTAACTTTTTTTTGTTATTGTTTTCAATTCTTAATTATTTTTTTGTTTTTTGATAATTCTATATCTTTTATTTTAATTCAGCTAAAATTTAAATGTTTTGTATTAATTTTTTATTTATATAACCGTAACATTTTAGTATCTTAATTATCAAATACTGGTATGAAGCCGAGGCACCCGTTTTTATCCTAAGTACTACTACTGAAATTCCGGGCTCGAAGCGGGGGCACGTGCCCCACCTAGCCCCCCCCCCCCCTAGGTCCTCCACTGGTGGGATCGGTCCGGTTTGGATCGGGTTTTCGCTAAACCCGGAAATTACCCGGAAGGTCTCGGGTTATGAAAATTATGGACCGGAACAAAGCCCATTATATTCGGTCCGAGTCAGGTTTTTGGTTGCCCGGGTTCGGTCCGGGTTCGGGTTGGACCGGTTAAAGCCCGGCCGTGAAATATGTCATTGTTTTATATTTTAACACTTATTTTCAAATAAAATTAATCAAAAATACAAACCGCAAATAATAACACAAATATTAGTCTCCAAAATCACCAACAATTCAAATTTAAAGAAGATAATTATCTTAATACTTTATGTAAGATGTATATATATAAATAATATAGGTTTCTTAAAAATATTACGAAATAAATTTTATAAATCAAAAAGTTACTAGAGTTGCTATAAATATATTCTCATGGTCATCATTACGCTAAACAAATTCAACATATTCGTAGTCACAAAAAGTTACTAAATCTTTTTTTATCCACCGTGATTATAATCATATATTAGGAAATATTTTATTTATATTCATATACTATATTAATTTTATATTAAAAGTAATTGTTTCGGGTTTTTTCAGTCCGGGGCGGGTTATAGATTTTAAGGCCCGTTAATGAGCCCGGAATTTTCGGTTCGGTCCGGGTTTTTTTAATTCGGGCCGGTTAAAAATAAAAAACCCGGACCGGGATCATAATTCGGGTCGGCCCAGGGTCGGTTTCCAGGTTTCGGTTCGGTTTTTCCCACCCCTACTAATTCGCATGCTTCCCATCGATTAAAAAGAGAAGTGAGAATTTTTTTAGGATAATAAAAAAAAAAAAAAGAAACATGACAAAGTTATTATATATAGAGCCCATTTGGTGACCATGTTTTCCGACTTATCTTGCTTATCGATCAGCTTTTTCATCAAACACATAATTTTTTATTTCGCGAGCTGAATTATGTAATAAGAAAAAATAAGGTTGCAGTTAATTTTCTGACTGCATTGACTGAAATTACTGTAGATGATCATTTTAGCTATTTTTCATATAATATTTTCTTTGTTTAATTAATAAAAAATATTTTAAATAAATTTTTTTCATAAATCGGCAGAATCAGCCAATCCAGCAGAAATTCATAAATTTCAGCAGAATCAGTCGATTCAGTCAATTTCAGTGTTACCAAAGGGCTCATAAATGTGTTAGTTTTTATATGAAAGTACGGAGTATTCAACAAATTTATGAACAACCAAGAATATTGGTATACATATTTAACAATTTTTTATCTTTTTAATTACCAAAGTAATTCACATTTTAAACTCAAATAAATAAAATAATCATGAAATAGAAGAATAGAAACTAATGCACAAAAATCACAAGAATAAATGAATAAAAAGTGCAAATATGGAATAAAATTAAAAATGAATAAAAGAAAAAAAAACGTGTCCAAGGGTAGAAGAAAGCAATAGCTAGAGGTGCACAAAGGGGAAAAGAATGAATAACAATATAACATTAGTCTTTGTGAGCACAATAAAGAAGATGAAAACGAATATATGTAGCCATGGTGTTTTCGATGTAAAGTTTCATGGATTTTAAAATTTTGGAGAATTTCACGTGTTCTCATTCTAAAATTTTAGGTATCTCCAATTATGAATATATGCATTCCGTTCAAATGGTAAGAATCTTCATTTTCAGTGGTTTATTATGATTCTTTTCAGGAGTTTATGTGGATTCTTATTTTCTCCAACCTAATTAACACTGAATACATGTACATTGAAATTTGGTATCTTATAATCAGGTTATCATGATATTCATTGAACTCTATTGGGATATGATAGAATTGAATGAGTATATTTCTATTAAAACCTATAAACTTTATTAATCTTAAGAAATCACATAAATTCAATATCAAGGACATCCCCCAAGAACAAAAGAAAAAGAGTGTACCTGCACTATAGTATATAGCTCAAGCTGCTCAACGATTGTTGAAAAGAGTGTACCTGCACCGTAGCTCAAGCTGCTCAACGAATATTGAGTGAGACACTTGGGTTGAGATATCAAGTTCAAGCCCCAAAAACGGCAATGTGACAGTTTTACCGAATGTGATGATTTGTTGTGCATTGAACATTTTTCTCAAAAACTGTGGGAAATTATATCTGTTGGACCAAACATATGACGGGTTGACTCTACATTCATGGGAACGGGTCATAATAGATTTTTTTGAAAGGTGGTCATGAAAGTTAATGAATGTTGGCCTGGCCGTTAGGACGTTTTTATGTATTAATGTGGCCATGAATATGATTAAGAAGGGAATTAATTAGTTTGAACAATCATTATGACGAGCCATCCAATCCTCAGATCAAACCGTGAAACTATGACGGAACGACCAAGACGTAACGTATACATGTCAAGAAGAAAGAATACAAGCTAGCCAATAAAGATAGGAGCTGACAATTGTATTAAATGTTGTTGATATTATAATAATCATTGTTAAGATCCGTTAGTATAAATTTAGATATTAATGCAGCTTTGTAACGGCCTGCCTATGCGGATGTAATGAATAATGTTGTTTGATCGTAACGGTGCCTAGTTTCAAGCTTGACTAGTCGGACTCGATGAAACGGTTTGACAACTCGTCATAGTTCAGCCAGCTTAAATAATAATACGGATTACTGATGTAATACACATGTTTCATGTTTGAACGACATACCTACGATTGTATACAATTTTGAAATACCTCTAAACTTCTTGAATATACTACATTTTAGCTATTCACTTGATCTTTGGCCTTTTTTATTCGTGCACGATACATGATTGATTTGTTCTTTCTGAATATACAAATCATATTTTAGGTAGTTTAACTAAGTACTAACCAAAAATAGCTTAAGCAATATCGTGATTTATCGTTTGAAGACTCTATTTGATTAGTGTGTGGGGCTGGTGGGTTGGGCGATTCTTATGCCTTTCTCTCATTGGCATTGCTCTTCTCGATCTCTCAAGTGTGTTGATAAACAAGCTATATAACTTATCTTATACTTTCCCTTTTAATTGCAACAGTCAACATTTCACGTTTGACAACGCACAAGTTTGACCATTAATATCATTCAATCTTTATTAGTAAAAAAATCATATTTTGAAAATTTAGAATGAGAAGAATTTAAGAATATTTCTTAAAAATTAAATTCGTAATACATTAATAAATAAACTATAGTCAAAGTAGAATGAAAGGGAGGATATTGGAAGCTAGTGTGCTCGGTCGTATGGGAGACATGAATAACATGATGACATGATGTGCTCAATAAATTCATTCCATTTATTTATTCAAGTTCTCAAGAACAACATATAGGAAAACGTGTTATGAATATGCTTATAATAACAAGACGCGGAGAGGACCTAGCCGCGGCTAGGGTTTAGGTTGGGCATTTTCATTATGCTACTTTTCTAGTTTTCACGGCGGATCTTCGGCGTTTTAGCAGACGGACCGCGAGCAGGGGAGCACTCGTCAACAGTGCTGGGAGAACGATCTTCGGCGTATTCGTGCGACGATTTCACTTGTCAACAAATTCGGTTCTTGCAAGCTGGATTTTAGCCATGGCGAACGACTGAGGGAACGATGGCACTTCTGCTGGGGTTGAAGCTCTGGCAAATATCTATGGGCAGTTGGATCTGGAAGAAGAGGATGAGGTCCTTGTGGTTGAACCTATGGCGCAGAATTCATCGAAGCACAATTTGACCATGGTGGGGACTATTACATCAGAAAAGTCGGTACGTTTTTCTCAGTTTAGAGATATTATGGCGTCTGTGTGGAAACCTGAAAATGGTGTTAATATAACTGAAATTGGTCCTAGACGGTATGCGTTCCAGTTCTTTAATGAGGAGGATGTCATTAGGGTTGATGAGGAGGGACCATGGCTCTTTGATCAGAACCTAATTGTTATGACT